TGTGAGGCACTTTGCCAACAGGGCCATCCTCCCAGCCCCATAGGCTGCCCTTTACTGTTGCCTGAAGATCCTTTTCAGAGAATAAGCCGCTTCCCCCCAGCCAGCTTTGACGGTCCACATTGCCTCATGTTTACCTGCTCCTGTTTCCTAGTCACCCTTCTCACTCTGATGGGACTTTTATATTAATTGCGCCTTTGTATTTCTGGGTGCTGTTACATCTGGGGTCTTGATGACCCAGGAAGCTGTTCTGCTCAGGGCCAGCTGGTCCCTTGAGACAGTCCACGGCAGTTGGTTTCACGTTCGAGCCAGTTGATCCAAAGTCCATATCCTGTCACCCAGTGCTCACTGGCAGTTACCAGCTCTGTCCCCATCATCCCTAGGCCAGGTACCAGGCAACAGTGGACAAACCCTGGGCCCAGAGTCCATGAAGCTACTCAGGCTTGCCCGGCCTCAGCTTGCACTGGGTTTTCTCACACAGCCATAGTAAAGCTCCCTGCCTTCATCTCCCTCTGCCTCGTGACCCACCCTGGCATTTCATCATGCGGCCTTGGGTGGCATGCCTGCTGTGGATGCAGAAACCTTTCTGACAGTCGTTTTCCTCTCTCCCATGCTTTCCATGTCAGATTAAAACAAGTCCTGGGTACAGCTGCTGACAGCTTATGGCCCATCTTCAGTTCAAATCTTGGTAATTCCTGTAGCCTCCTGGTGGTTCTTGACTCCTGGCCACCATGACCCCACTTGTTAGCCAGAAGGCAAATGCTGTAGGATGGACTTTCTATACGCTATGAATATGTGTTGCCAACATTGGTTAATAAAGAAGCTGCTTTGGCTAATGGCAAGACAGGTTAGAGCCAGGCAAGAAATCAAAAAAAAGATACATGGAGAAGAAAGGCGGAGTCGAAAAAGACATCGCAGGCTGCCTGGTAGATCAAAATGTAATGGAACGCAGGTAAAGCCACGAGACACTTCATAGATGAATAGAAATGGGTTAATTCAAGATACAAGAGCTAGTTAGTAATAAGCCTGAGACGTAGACCAAACCGTCATATTGAATATAAGCCTCTGTGTGTGTTTGGAACTGAGCAGCTGTGGGATGGACACAGGAAAACTTCTGGCTACAGGCAAACCTGATATCTCACTCCTGGGGCTTTCTTTTTTCATTTTTCCAACTGTGAACCCAGACACAAGCAGAATCTGTGAGGTGGTTGTTACCTTGACAGCGTCATCTGAACCTTTAGAACGGCCCAAGTCCCCAACAGCTGCACCGCGGCATCTGGCATCACCAAACCAGCTCTTTTCTGAAGACGACGCTTTTCTCCTGTATTTCTGTTTTGGAATGAGCCTTCTCAGCTGCTTCCCCTCATAGTAGGAGGGTGGATCAGGCGCAGCAACTAATTCTCCTCTCAGAGATGACAGAACACATCTTCGCCCAGGAAGCTCGTTTCCCTGTGGTCCACAGGCCAAGCACCCAGGAGGATGGGCTCAGTTTGACCAGCACTAGATCTTGATTTCAAAACCACACCACACCAAAAACCTGAGCACAAAACTGGAGCCATAACACAGAATGTCCAGGTCATTAGAAGGAAACTGTAATCTAACAAAAGTCAGAAAATAGAGAGAGAAGAAGTGCAGTAAATATAAAACATAAAACAAAAGTAAGAATATGCTAACCACACCAGTAATCGTAAACAATGGAAATGAGTTTAAGTCTTTTCTTAAATGTCTCTCTGAAATCCAAGAATATGCAGCTATAGAAGGCATTTCCACTGCAAAATACTATAGGAAAATTCTAGATAACACATGAGAAGATACCCCACAGTATCACACATGAAATGTCACATGGTACTCCATGACTATGGACCATACAATTTATATTGGTCAGTTGATGGGAGCTAAGTGTGTAGCTCAGAGGTAGAGTACTTGCCTACATATACACAGCTTTGGGATGAATCTCCAGCATGGGAAAAAAATTAAAATTCATGAAAATATATTTTAAGGAAATCTAATAAACATGTAGATACTTATTTATACCAGGCAAAAATTGAATTCAGGTGAAAATTATAAGATTTTTGTTGTTGTTGTTTTTTGTTTTTTGAGACAGGGTTTCTCCTGTTCTAGAACTCACTTTGTAGACCAGGCTGGCCTTGAACTCACAGAGATCTGCCTGCCTCTGCCTCCTAAATGGTTGGATTAAAACTGTGTGTCACCAAGCCTGCTAAAGATTTTTTTTAAGAAGTTATATAAAAAGCTATACATTTGGGGACTGTAGAGATTGTAGAGAGTGGTTAGGAGCACAGATTGCTCTTCCAGAGGACCAGGATTATATTCCCAGCACCCACATGGTGACTATCATCTGTAACTCTAGTTCCAGGGGATTTGATGACCTCTTCTGGCCTCAGGCACCCCTCCGCACGTAGGGTCTACAGAGTAAGTTCCAGGACTATTTCACACAGAGAAACCCTGACTTGAACTCCCCACCCCCACCCCAAAAAAACCAACTGAATTACTTAGAAATAAAGTCACAACAGTTGTTAGCTATCAAGACCTCAGCTAAGGCAGAGCAGTAGCCAGGGCACGTGGATAGCCTGGAATGCACGGTGTAGGAAAGAGCAAGGCTGACTGAGATGCAAAGCCAGGGTGATCCCGAGGAAAGGTACAAATCGCATTGAAATGAGACAGACTGTTTGCTGCTGCAGTACACATCCAAGAGAACCTACTGAGCCACCAGCAATCCAGTAAGAAAGAATAAAACTGTGATGTGCTTGCTTCTTATCCAGACAGGAGTTAGCTCCTCCTGCTGGTGGGGCTGTTTGGGGAAAGGCCTTTGAGTTATATTGAGGGGGAAGTAAATTGATTCATCACAGAAAGCATCAAATAGACTCTGTCAGGTTAGACCTCTCTCCATGGACACACCGACAGCTCCCCTAGAGCAAGATTTTCATAGGTGCGATGTCCAATATCACAGAGCCATCTCCGTGGAAGCTGGGTAAGGGGAGGAGTCAGCCAGAGAAAGAACAAATGCTCTCCTAGCTGGGGGAGGTGCAAGCTGAAGACTTGAGTTTGGGCCCCAGCACACACATAAAGCAGGGTACCATAGCACACTTCCAAAATCCATAGCAAGATGGGAGGCAGCGACAAGAGAATCCCTGGAAATGTGAAGGCCAGCTAGTCAGCAGCAAGCAAGCACTGTGTCTCATACAATGTGGAGGTGTGAACCCACCCCTGTGGCTGTTCTCTGACCTCCAGGGTGCACTGTGGCACATACATACATACATACACACACATACACACACACATGCATACAGATTAAAATGAGACTCCATTCAAAGGGAGGACAAGAAAGAGCATTGGAAATCATCATAGGTAGTAACAATAGCAGGGAAGTGCTGGGGGAAATATGGAAGATGCATAAAAAAACAAGAGCAGTGTAACACGCTGAGAAGAAGCGAGGCAGAAAGCCTGGGGCAGGAGGCACAAAGAGCTCATCAAACAGTGGCCATAGGCTGAGAAAACTGTGGAGTTTGACAGCCCTGAGCCAGAGGTAAGCAGCTGGGTCAAGCTCTGGAGCTCCCCTTGTGCAGTGTAATATACTCTATACCACCGCTGATCTCGCCCCTGGGAGATTATAAACTGTAAGGACAGGGTCTCTGCTTGAACATACCTCAGCACGGCGGTTGCTCTCCCTCCACAGTGTACTTGGGAGACACCCCCCCCCCAACAGCTAGAACGTTAGCCACCCCAGCTGCTGCAATCCTGGGAGTGTGGGAGCACAGGCGGCCTGCACAGCTCACACTGCAAAGCTAAGTGTGGCCAGCAGAGGCCCCCAGTATACAAAGAAGGGAAGCCCTTAGGAGGCGACAGCTGCTGGGTCAGCCTCAGTAGAAGCATGGATGATAGGAAGGACATAGGGACACACAGTTCAGCTGATACTCCTCACTCTCTTCCTCCTCTCCCATGTTATTTTTACTGCTTCTAGTCATAATCTCGCTTTATTGTGTTGAAGACAATCAAAAGCTTTTATGTTTTTATTCCTTTTGCCCTCTTACAGCTTAATTTTGTTAATGCATTTTTCTCCTTTTTCAAATTAAACAGGTCCTTTTTATTTTATGTGTATGAGTGTTTTGCTTGCATGTATGTCTGTGTACCAACACCCACGCCTGTTGATTGTGGAGGTCAGAGTCCCTGGAATTGGAGTTACAGACAGTTGTGGGCTGCCATGTTGGTGCTAGGAATCAATCCCAAGTCCTCTGGAAGAGCAGCAAATAGTCTTAACTACTGAGCCATCTCTCCAGCCCTTCTGCATTTTTCTTGTCATTGGGCATTTTTTCCATACCTCCTCAATTATTTTTCAAATAAGTTTATTTGGCTCCCTTTCTGCAGCATCTGCAGCCAGTTTCTTCCTCGTACACAGTTACCACTTCTAAGACCACGTGCAGTTGGGCCCTTCAGTCCCTCGGAACCTGACTAATACACATTCTGTAGGTCATTGAGGCCTCATTACACTCCTTTTGGACAGAACAGTCAAACCCAGGCTAACTCAACTGTGGTTCACATTTAGGACCTGGGCTGCTAGGATGAGAAGTGTGGTACAGCTCAGAGCCTGGGCCTCCAAGGGAGGAAGCCTGTGTGAATGGCTCAGCAGGTAACAGTAGCCATACCTGTGATACCCAAGGCCCAGGATTGTATCTGCAGCTGCCCAGACCAGCCATGGGACACAAGCTGCTTCTTGTTCTTCTGGATCTCACTTGGGCTGTGGCAGGCCATTTAAAGGCCACAGTATGAGCAGCCTCAGTCACACCTCTTCCTGATGTCTTCTCTTCTACCTCCTGTTGAGTATGTGCAAGGCTCAGCTGGGTGGTGGTGGCTTGCACCTTTAGGAGGCAGAGGAAGGTGAGTCCCTGAGTTCGAGGCCAGCCTCATCTACAAAATATGTGGAGGCCTTAGAATGGCTTAGGCTAGCCAACAGCTAAGAGGGGTGATCCCACAGCCAGGCTTCAGGGAGTGTCAAGCTACTGATCATTCAGGTGTTCACAGGGCAGGACACTGAGGCACACAGGGCTCTCCACCCTGCCACCCACCGACACACAGCACCACACCTGCAGTGCCTCTAAGGGCAATGCTTTGTGCAAACAGTTTGTCCTTTGTGTCCCCCCCTTTTTAAAAGTTTGTTTGTGTGTGTGTGTGTGTGTGTGTGTGTGTGTGTGTGTCGCTGCACAAGTGTGGAGGTCAGAGGACTACCTAGAGAAGACAAACTCCCCTTCTATCCAGCGAGTCCCAAGGATTGAACTGAGATCATTAGGCTTAGTGGCAAGCCCCCTCCCTGCTGAGGCACTCTAATGGCCCTCCCTTTTACTCTGCTTTTCCTGCTGTTTTGACTTACCTTACTAGGTTTAATAATAATAATTAAAAAAAAAAAAAAGCCCTGGCATTTTTATTTTTTACTCCCCTTCTTATATCAATGCAATTTTGTTTTTTAAACTTTCTAATTACTGGGAAATCTTTTGTGGGTGTTTTCTTTTTTACTTTTTCTAATCACTTGCTCTTTTTCCTCTCCATCACCTTCTTCTCTACTCCTTTCCTCCTTTTCCTCCTTTAACTTGATTCTCCTGTTGTCTCCACTTCCTTCCGTGTCTTTTCTTCTCGTTTACTGTCTTTACATTTATTCTAAATGTCTAACTTGACTATTTCTAAATTTCTAGAATTTCACATTCCACATTAGTTTGGACATTTCCTGCCTTAGGTCAGTGTTAGCATGGGCGTGGCTTTAGCTGACTTCCAGTCACTTGTGTGTGTTGTAGGCGCTTGATTATTGCTGCTACAATAGTTTGCTTTCTTCTCTGAGCAGGGTTGGGGATTGAACCCTTTAGACTAGACTACTCACAGGAAGAACCTTCCCCCAAAAAAACCTGGAGGAGAGGTCCCACTAACAAATGCACAAAGCCCAGCACCGAATCTTGGGGGAGCCAGGCAGCATGACCCTTTACAAGAGCCTCCCTCGCTGGACGGTGGTGGCTCACGCCTTTAATTCCAGCACTTGGCAGAGGCAAGCAGATCTTTGAATCAGAGGCCATTCTGGTCTACAGAGCAAGTTCCAGGAAAAAAGGGGGAAAAAAAAAAGAGCCTACTCCCCAGCCACTGAATTTGGAGGCACCAAGGCAGGCAAGGTACAGAAGGACTCAGAAGTTTAGTAAAACTGACCAGTTACTCCAGAGGACACAGCAACAGATGGATTTAATTGGGGACCCAGCGAAGATGGTTAACCACACACAGGAAAATGCCAGCCAAATGGATGAGAAAGTCACCAGCATGAGTGCAAATGTCAACAGCGTGGCAGGAAAATCCAACAAGGCACATGTGATTTTGAAAACAAAAGAGAAAGGTTGGAAATGAAAAACTAGAAAATAAATAAATAAATAAAGCCCAAGCTAAAACAAAACAACCAAAAAACAAGCAAACTCACACACAGTAGGAAACCTGTCCAACACATTGAACCAAGCAGAAGAAAGAATGTCAGGAACAGAAGATTAAGTTGAGGAAATACAGAGTTCAGGTGTTGATTCAGAAAAGAAATTGAGACGTGGTGAAGAGATCAAAGAAAGAAACAGGCTGACAGGAACTGTGCCTGAGATCAGAATCTGTTCAGGAAAGTTAGAGCGGGTAACTTTCCAAACTAGACAGAGTGGATGCCCAGACACAGGCGTTTAGAACCCAGATCTCACCAGAGAGCCTCTCCAGGACACACCAGAGTCCAGATGCCAGAGTGCAAAGCAAAGATACAATGTGCAGCGCTCCAAAGGAAAACACCAACTCACCCTGTAAACGCCCGCAAGGCAGCCCCAGGAGATGCTCAGCCGGCAAACCCTTGCTGGATCCAAGTTCAATCCCTAGTACCCATAGTAGGAGAGACCTGACCACGCCATGTGTGCCATGGTCAGAGTGCGCGCGCGTGCGCGCACGCACGCACACACACTGAGAATGAATCCTCTTGTTTGTGGGTTCTGGAGATCAAACTGAGGTCCTCATGCATGGTGGCAAGCACCTTTACCTGCTGAGCCATCTTGCCAGACTTCATTGTTGTTGTTGTTGTTGTTGTTGTTGTTAACACAACAGAATCTCACTGTGCTTCCAAGGCTGGACTTGAACTCCTGAGTGCCACTGATCTTCCTGACTCCTCAGAGATTGGGTGTCTGGGCGAATGTCCCTGTGCCTAGCCTTTTACTAACATCATGCCTTAATATACCTTGTTTTCCATTTATGGGTCAATATCAACACACTATTATTTGAGGTTCATAGTTTACATTAGACTCGTGCTGTGTTATGCAAGTTCCCTGGATCTTGACAAATGTCACCATTACAGCATCATACAGACTTGTTTCACTGCTCTGAAAATCCCCCTCAGTGCTCTCGGCATGGCGACCTCCCCACCTCAAGGCCCTGCCAAGCACTCCACTCATAATAATTGTTGCTCCATTATTGTGCCTTTCTGGAATGTCCTATCATAGGACATGCACGATGTGGGGTTTATCCATCTGCTTCCCACTTTTGTGGATTACAAACCTCTGTAAACATCTGTGCGTAGCTTTTTGTGTGGACATAGGTTTCCAGCAAATGTATCCGAGGGCAGCCCCCGAGTCATGTGGTGAAGCTCTGTTCAGTTTTTCACAGGACTGCCAAGCTGTCTTCTGGCCAGCAGTGAATGGGAGCTCCTGCTGCTCCCTCCTCATTTGTGACTGTCCGATTCTTGGATGTCAGCCATTCTGAGAGGTGTGCCGTGGTCCCTGCGGTGGCTTCCATCTGGGGTTCCCTCGTGACACACGATGTCTCACATCTGCTCCTGCACACGTTTGCCATCTGCCACTCTTCATAAAATACACGCCCAGGTGACAGCTGGGGCTTCTGGTCCCTCAAAAGTCAGATAAGATTCATTAAGTCCCTTATTCCAAGCCTGTGAACATGCTAATGCCTCCTTGAGATAAAGGGAGGCAAGATTAGACTAGGAGAAGCTTCTAGAAGTGGAGGCATCTACCACACTTATTTCCACACGGAACCTGAGTGCCTTTCCAGTCCCCCTCATGTGATCTTGGCAAGGACCACCCTCCAGTGGGTGGGGCAGGTACCGTTTACGATCATTACTTGAGAAATGAAAAGTGTGGAGGTAAGTTGTTCCAGCTTACACACCCTGAGGAGGGAGAGTGAGGCATGAGCTCCGGTCACTCATCACTCAGCCCTAAGCGTCTTGTGGTGGCAGAATTGGCCTGTTTGCTGAAGACTGGTGAAGCTGGTAAGTACCCTAGCCACCTCTTTGTTTTCTTTTTCTTTATTAAACATTTACTTAATTGTTCGTTTATTTTGTGTGGGGGGTGGGAGTTGTGAGCACCTGTGGAGACCAGAGGACAGCTTTTGGGAGTCAGTACCATCCTTCCACCATGTGGGTTCTGGGGCTCAAACCCAGGCAATCAGCCCCGGTGGCAGCTGCCCTTACCTCTGACCATTCCGTCCTCCCACAGATCTTTCTGTGTGATCCAGGTTCTCCTTAAACTCCCCAGCCTCCTGCCTCAGCCTCCCGGTGTCACAGGCTTGGGCCGCCACCCCTGGCTTGTGTCATGAAGGCCTTTAACATGTCTACGTCCAGACAGTCAGGAAATGGAAGCGGAGATTCACTGAATCTCGCTTGGTCTCAGGTGGAGCTGGAGTCTGGGGGCTCCCCAGTCTCTCCTGGTGGGGCTCTGGAAATAGGCAGCTTCCCAGCAGTTATGGAAGGCCTGGCATGCTTTGACAACTTGCTTGGGTCCTTCATGCCCTCCGTGTGCTGGCCAGCTGCCATCAGATAATAAAGAACTCCCTTGGGAGAGTGTCCTTCACACCTGCCTTTTCCTTTACGGGACTCTGACACCTGAGGCTGCCGTTCTCCCAGCCTGCCACTCACAAGCAAGTACCAAGCATGCCTAGGCCGCAGGGCCCATGCCTTTCTGTCTGCCTCTCCACGTCTCTCTTCTGCCTCCTGATTTACCTCATGGCTACTTTGTATGGCTCTGCATGGCAGTGAGGTGCACATTCCTGCCGGGGACTGCAAGTAGCAGCCAGATCCCCATCTGTTGGTCAGCTCTTTTTTTTTTTTTTTAATCTCATGTAGCCAAGGTTAGCCTCAAACTTTCAGAGTAGCAGAGGATGACTTTGAACCTCTGATCCTTCTGCTTCTACCTCCAAGTGCTGGGATTACATGCATATAATGCCATGCCTGTTTTATATGGTGCTGGGACTCAAATTCAGGGCCTTATATGCTAGGCAGTACTCTACCACTGAGTTATATCCTAGCCCAAGTCAACGTATTTTAAAACAGCGAGTGTGATGTATTGATTTCTTACCCAGAATTTCTGGCAATTTCCAGAAATATGGCAGTGTGGCCCTTCCTGGAGGCTGCAACCTGGAACATGCCCTGGACCATTGTGCTGAGAGGCAGAATGTGGGGAGCAGAAGATCAGCATCTTGCAAGACAATTTTGGGTATTTACAAGACATCCTTTTTCTGCTTCTGAAATTCCATAAGGAATTCATACCACCTTGTGTGGTGCTCGGCAGACGTAGATATCCCAGCAACTGACCTGAATTCTGAGCCAAAACTGCCCCTGGAGCTACAGGAGAATCTAGGGAGGGGGATCAAGACATAAAAAAAAAAAACCATGGTCTATGTGGTGTGAGGAGTTGAGAGTGCTTAGTTCCTCTGGTCTTGAAAGCAGCAGGGCCATCCTCCAATAGCCATGGGTTGGCCATGGGGTGTGGACAGAGAATGGCTAAGTTTAGCTTGCACTCCACAGTGAAATTTATTGTTGATAATGTAACCCTCTCCCACCAAGCTTTCTTCCAACTGAGACCTCCAAGGATAGAATGTGGTACTGTAAGAGTATGTGTGTGTGTTTTCTTTAATCTGTGGTCCTTCATTACCCATTCATGCTTCTCACCCTTACTGGGGCCCTTACATCTGGCCTGCTTAATGCTGCAAATGTAACCGTGTTGAGTCTCCTGACAGTACTAATACCGCAGTCCAGGTGGGTTCCGGTCTCTATAGCAACAATCCAGCTCTGCTGCTCCAGCAAACTCTACTGTGGACAACACATCTACACCAAGCAGCCCTGGTCCAATAAAACTTTATTTATAAGGTACTGGAGTATAGCTCAGTGGTAGGGCACTTACCCAGCATAAGATAAGATCCCAAGTTATGTCCTTAGCACCACAAAGTAAGCAAACAAAGCTTTGCTTATGGACATCAAAAGCCAAACTTCATAAAATTTCCACAGACCACAAAATGTTATTTTGATTGTGTTTTAGCAATTCAGAGACATGGGAAGCATCCCTAGCTCATGGGATGGACAAGATGGGCAGCAGGCTGGATTGGATCCCTGAGCTGTCTTGGACTGGACATTGACCCCTGGATTTTCTGCCAACTCCGTCATGGTTTCTTTCTCCTCCTTTGCTCTCTTCTCCCCTCCCCTGCCCTTCCAGAGCTAATCTAGCTGAGGAGAGAGATACAAGCAACTCAGTAAGCCAGTGCTACCAGGTGGTGAGAGCTGCAGGTTCAACGAAGTCCAGTAGAACAAGACCTGACATAGAGGCTAGGAAGGGACAGGTCCACATCCCACAGTGGTGGCAGGTGTCCTAGGTCTTCACATGGCCGAGCTAGAGGCACCTGCCCACCTTCGTTTGCTCTGCTTTCCTTCCTAGGACCAGGTCTTTACTTCCTGACTAGTTTCCCTGGAAGTACTTTATAATAAACGACTTAAAAAACATCCTTTGCCTCATGGTCTCTGGTTTGAATATGCAGTATCCCCTATAGACTTGTGTGCTTGGACATTTGGTCCTTGGCTGGTTTTGGAAGGTCGTGGAACCTCATTGCAGGAAGTGGGGCACTGGTGGGGGCCTGCAGGTTTTATGGCTAGAGCTCACTTCCTGTCCTGTTTTCAGATGATGACAAAATGTGACCGGTTGTCTCATGCTCTTGCTGCCATGCCCTCCCTTCAGTGTGTCTCTGTTTAATTTTTGAGCCAAGGTGCTGGAGAAATGACTCAATGGTCATGAGCATGTACTGCTCTTGCAGAGGACCCAAGTTGCTGTGGAATATTCCTTTTGTACACTATGAAGATTTGTTGCCGTGATTGGTCAAATGAAGAAGCTGACTGGCCAATAGCTGGACAAGATAAAGTTAGGTGGGAAGCCAAATTGAGAAAGGTTGGGAAAAAGAAGGGTGGAGTTTGGGAGTCACCAACAGAGACAGGAAGCAAGATGGGCATGCCTTATTGAGAAAAGATACTGAGTCATGTGGCAAAGTGTAGATAAGAAATATGGGTTAATTTAAGTTGTAAGAGCTATTTAGTAATAAGCTTGAGCTGTTGGCCAAGCATTTATAATTTATATTAAGTCTCTTGTTATTTGGGAGTGACTGCTGGACATAAAAAAAGAAAAACTCCACCTACAAATGAAGCCCAACATGGGGAAACTACATCCACCATCCACATAAAAACTGAGAGAGCTTGGGAAATGATTCTAGATACAGAGATACAGAGCCAAGAGTGGCTTCCTAGTCATGTGTCTCTCATGCTAGCCGAGGTACAGGGACACATCTCCTGGCTGCTGCCTTTGTGAGGGAGCCAACTGCAAACTGCCATGTTCTATGGCCTGTGCTAAGCTGAGTAATGCTGGTAGCTGACATAGCAGTTAAAGATTCAGCTCATTCGATCAAAAAACAATACAGATGCTTGGTAAAACAGATCCAGACGGGGAAAAAAACAACTCTAAACAGGTTACAGTGTGTTTTAAAATATACATAGGCTTGGAAGAGAGGACTGACAAAGAGTATATACAGTCATAGATTTAAAAATGTAGTTTTAAGATGATAAAACAAATTTCTTAAAAAGGAAGTAATGTAATATAAAAGAAATAAACTACATAAAGATAAAAATTACAGAGTCTGGATCTTGTATGTTATTGTGTTGTCTTTGAATTTTTTGGCTGCTAAGGGATACTGAATTATGAAAATTGCTAGATTCAACCAACATATATGTTTTAAAAATATCTTGACTTCAAAATTTAAGTCAAAAGATATGTTACTTTGGGGGAGAGGTTATGCTTTTATTTCTATAGGAAATGAGAAGCTGTGGGTTCATTCTGGGTTAAAGAAAATCAGGTTTGATCAGGGAAGACCCCTGAAATCCTGACTACAGACATTATATATATATATATATATATATATATATATATATATATATATATATATATATATATAATGAACTACAAGGACACATGATGTTTATTTTACCTGCTCAAACACTTAACAAAAAAAATCTTATGTTAATACAAGTATGTATGTTACCTTCAAGAGTTTATGTGTTTTCAGAGCAAAGAGACCAGACACCAATAAAAATGGATGCCCCAGGTGATCCAGCATCCAAAACAGTTTCAAGGCTGCTGACTGAGATGGTCCAGCCTCACAGACTTAACCAATATCCTAAATTTTCTCAGGTTCCAAAGATTACAAGCACTCCCAAACAACAGGAAGTAGTTCCCAAAGAATTGGTTATAAATGTTTGTCATCATTTAAGGAGGATTGATTACAAATTGTTATTGGTCATAGTCAGGAAAAAAGCTAAACAAATGAGTTAAATTCAAGGCTCTCTTTCTAAAGGAAAAGGGGGATAAGATATAGAAATGACAGGATAAAAGGGTATATTAGTGAATCTACTTTAATAAAAAAAAACAGCTATTCAAAATATTTTACATTGATATAGATTTTAGTTTATTGATACAAATTTAAAGTTATTTCCATTATACTGTATGTATGTTTCTACTCTTGTTTGTGATATTATGCTTATGCAGCTCATTTGAAAATGTAATGGACTGCGTCTACCAGGTTGATCTTAATCCTCGGGGGAGGCTTTGCCCTGGAGGAGGTGGGAAGGGAAGGGGGAAGAACAAGGGAATCCATGGCTGATATGTAGAACCAAATTATGTTGTAAAATTAAATTAAAAAATAAAAATAAATAAATAAACACAAATGCATAAATAAATTTTTAAAACACTAGGACTTACCTTTGCAAGTTAGGATGGTTGAGCAGTCTAAGGCACTGCATTCAGGAATGAGATGTGGACCTTTGGGGAAGGACAGAGAGGGAGCAGCCAATGCAAAGGTGCTGGACTAGTCAGGGTCCTTCAGATCCAACAGAGTATATGCATATGACATCAAAGGTGATTTATTAGGTTGTTTTATGGAATCAGCAGCCCCTATCCGATCCTGAATTCCTGAAAGTTCCTAGAGAGCTGATGCTATGACTCCATGTAGGAATGCCGAAGAAACAGGAGGCCAGTGTTGCCTGCAGCAGTCATCCTTGCACTCACTCAGAAGATGGGGCTTGCAGGCTATGTGGACACTGCCTTCCTCCCTCTTCTCCAGGATGCCAGCCTGCTGAGGGATGCCACTCACAACTGGGAAGGGGGCTTTTCTTCCAGTTACTGTCCCATGTGTCACTTCTCTCTAGAAACACCCCTATAGTCATACAGAGGTGAATGTCCATGGCTGTAGATATTTCTTAATTCAGTCAAGTTGGCAAACAAGACTGTCACAAGCCCCCAGGGAACATGAGGGACAGAGAGAGGATGGGGAGAAAGCAGCAATCCCAAAGGCTCTGTCAGCAGTTCCCAGGCATTTTGGTCTCTGGGTGATGTGGGAGCCCCAGATCAGAGGAGTATGAAACTGGCTGGTGGTATGAAAGGCTTTCTTGATTATGCTAATGGGAATAAACATTGAGTAGAGGTAGAAGTAGGAAAGAGACTGCCTTGATGGATACTGCAACAATATATGTGAAAGGTGATGCTACTGAGATTGATGTGCCTCAGTAAAGGGAGTAGGAGATGGCCAGATTCTGCACAGATAGACAAGACAGGCTACTGGAAGACGGATATGGAACATGAAGAAAGAGGAATCATGGGTGACAACTAGAAAATACCATAGCAAATGACATGTGTGCTGATGGTTTATTTTATGTATAGATCTGACTGGGCTGTAAGACACCCAGGTAACTGGTCAGACATTATTTCTGGGAGCATCTGTGAAGGTCCCTCTGGAAGAGGTTAGCCTTTGAATCAGTAGACAAGATTCATGTCACCTGTGGAGGGCCATCACCCAATAAGCTGAGGGACCTGAATAGACACAGAAGCAGGGGAAGGGTGGATTTACTCTGTGCTGGAGCTGAAATACCCATTTCCTCTTGCCCTCTGACTTCGGGGGCCTGACTTATGCCGTTGGCTCTTCTGGTTCTGTCTTGCAGGATTCCTTCATGCCCCACAGGTTACATCTTTTGGACGGCAGGGCCTTTCCTCAGAGTTGACATGTCTATTACAGCTTCTGTGTAAAGTATCCCCCAAACAGCTCATGCTGAAGGCCTAGCTCCCCAGTGATGGTGCTGCCGACAGGTGGCTGGATCATGAAGAGCTAACTTCATAAGGCAGTCCATTGATAAGATCAGAGCAAAATGGGCTCTTGGAAGGTGTGGTGGTTTGGAAGAAAATGACCCCCAAAGGGAGTCAACTACTCAGAGGTAAGTGTGGTCTTGATGAAAGAAGTTTGTCTCTCTAGAAGCAGGCTTTGAGGTTTCATCTATGCCCAAGATACTGCCCAATGTCTCAGACCTTCCTGTTCCCTGAAAAATGTAGGACTCCCAGCTACTCCTCCAGCACCATGTCAGCCTGCACGCCACCATGTCCCACCATGATGATAATGGAGTGAACCTCTGAACTGTGAGTGAGCCATCCCAATGAAATGTTTTCCTTTATAAGAGTTGCTGTAGCCATGATGTCTCTTCACACCTTACCTTCTGTCTTAGGGTTTCTATTGCTGTGAAGAGACACCATGACCATGGCAACTCTTACAAAGGAAAACATTTAGTTGGGGCTGGCTTTCAGTTTCAGAGGTTTTTGGCATGACAAGAAGCATGGTGGCACGCAGGCAGACACGGGGTTGCAGAGGTACCCGAGAGTTCTACATCTGCATCAGCAGGCAGCAGGAAGAGAGAGTGAAACACTGGGCCTGGCTTGAGCATCTGAGACCTGGAAGCTGGTTCCTGGTGACACACTTCCTCCAACAAGGCCACACCTACTTCAACAAGGCCAAACCTAATAATGCCCTTCCCTATGAGCCTATGGGGCCCATTTTCTTTCATTCACTGCAGTCTGTTATGATGGAGTGACTCACTGAGGCCATGCCTTGAAGGTTGTGTCTGGTTCCTAGAGCCTTCCCCTTGCAGCCCCCTGCCCCTTGCATCTGTGATGTGAACAACTCCACTCTACCACTCCTGCCTGATGCTCTGCTTCGCCAAAGCCTGGAAACAAACAAGCCAGGTGACCTTGAACTGAAACCATAATTTCTCCTTTAGACCATTTTTCCAAGGATTTCAGCAAGAGAAAACCTGGACAATGTTCCAAACCAATGCCATGCCTTTAACCCAATCCTGGTCCTCATTAACCACCAGCAGAACAAGCGAGAACCTTTGAGGCTGCCCTTCACTCTCCTGTCCCTCAGCCCTGTACCCACCTTACCCTTGTCCTGTCAGTGGTAGCTCTTAAGTATGTCCCCAGTTCATTTGCATTTCCCTCTGGCCAGCATCCACCAAGACAGCAATCATCTAGTCAAGGCTACATTCCTCTGACCTGAACTACTCACAAAAAGTGGAACCTCATCATGCCAATCTGTCACCTCTTCCTTTCGGAGCAGATAACACCCCATCTGGTTTCCATACTG